TGTTATATCTTATGCAAAAAATTCACCATATATTCAAATAAAGGAAGTGTCCAACCAACACTCTGAGACTTAATAGGGCCAAGAACAAAGATCTAGAAAATCATGACTTGTAAGGTAGGAAGCTATTTTTCAGATGACAAAACTTATCTATGCCATGTAGTTGGGGCAGCAAACTGATAGGCCCCCTAACACCGGGCAGGGATGAATGCCTGTGCCTGCACTGTGCATGATGCGGAGTGGTACCAGCAGAGAGCATGAGCACATGTCCGTCTGTCTGACAGGTGCAGCTGCTATATAAGGACAAAAGCATCTTGTTGCTCTTTTGATATAAAAACAGAAATGGACAGTTTTTAAAGAAATCTTCTGATAATAAGTTATAAAGATAAATAATAAATGTCAATGTCCAACCATCTGGCCAAGACATTTGTAGACCACCCGTCTGCAACCTCTGCTATATTGCATGATAATCCTCAAATTTGCTCCCCTAAAGGAATTTGCACCTAGCTAGGGTAATGCTACTGAATGTTGGTGTGCATAAGAATCATCTGGCAAGTTTGTTAAAATGTGAATTCCTGATTTCAATGATTATCTAGTGCATCCCAGAAAACTGAATTTTTGATAAGCAGTCTGGTCACTCTGAAGCATGTTGTCTGTGGTCCACAGTTTGAAAAGCATCAAGTTAAGAAAACCATAAATACTGTATCTAGAGAAATGTAAGGCAGTATATAAATTCCTAGTAAGAGGATTCTGGTAGAGACCATGATTGGGAGTAAAGCTCCATGGCTGAAGACTGAGGATGTAGGCCATAAAGATAAAGGCAGGGAGCTTCCAACTGTGGAGCATGCCTGAAACAGTCCTGGGTAAGGTGACCACAGGACTGATGGCAGCCACAAATTGCCTAGCAGGCTTGAGATTTCAAAATGGTAAATACTTTTTAAAAAGTGCTTGATGCTGATTTCTCCCAGCTGAAATATGAAGAGGCTAAGGTCCAAAAGCTGAACCTAAAATGACTATGCAAGAAAAGAAAAAATAAATTACAGAGTATTCCAGAGGTCTGTCAACAGTCCTGGCACAATTTGTGACAGCCATTAAGTTATTATCACTCATAACTGTTCTGAGTGTTATCTAAGCTCAGGTACATATCTAACACACACATTGGCTATGTTCACAGGTTTACATTTAGTACTTTTTAAAGCCAAGATGTAGATGGAAGTTCTGTTGAAAACTATTGATTCATTGAATCTATAAACAACATTTGCTCATCCCATTAAGGAATCATGTAAATTGGCTATATATATATGCAAGAAAACCATCAAAGTCATTTCCTGTTGTTAATGGAAAACCACAAGAATATGTTTTTGCTTCATTAATGTGTATTATTTACTTTCCAGTAATGGACTAGGTGCTTTCAAAGACTGAGTACAGGTCAGACTATATACTGTGTGAGATCACAAAAGCAAAGTAGTGGTGGTAAGTATTTAAAATATCCTGTGTAAGGGTAACTGCATATTTCTATTAGAACTAGTATACAGACTTCTTTTAGCTCTTTTACCAATGCTGTGCTTCACTGTGCTGTGTCGACTGCTAAAAAGACAAAGAATCTCCTGTAGTGAATGCTCATAGTTTAATTCACACAGAGATTAGCTGCCATTCTGCTAAATGGCTTGTTCCCCATTTCTCTAGTTACCGGCATAGTGTCATTTCTTACCACACTACCCAATGTCTAGCTCTGAAAAGAAGTAATGATTCAATTGGGAAGAGCTAGTGCTGATGGAGGGTCGAAAAGGAGTTTCTCTCAAGATATGCCATACTCTAAAAGCAATCAAATAATGTGTACATTACTTTGGTAGTTATTACAGTGAGGAAGAGGAAGGGTGCATCGTCTTATAAAGTGAATCAGCAGTAATGCAGAAATGTAACAAAAGAAGAATCTATTATGGTGTTTCTGGTAGTGGGTGGTGGGGATTATTTCTCCAAAATATGTGATATTAGAAAATCTGAGGCATTTGTGTAGTTAGCTGTGTGACCCCAGTGCACTTCTAGGCACACAATTAAAAGGTGCCACCATCTTGAAAGAAATTAGAGGCTGGCAGCAAATATATGCTCTAAGTGGGGCCTGGTCTGTCACAACGGGAGTTGACTGTTTGTAGACAACTGTGTAGAGAAAGCAAAGGAAGGACGGAACTGAGCAAAACGAAAGTTGGCTCTGGCCACAGCAAGACAGGTTGAAATCCATGAGATGCTCTATGGCTCCAAGTTCCTAGAGAGTCATTCCAGAGATCTGGGTGTGTACATATATATTTGTATTTATACTTCTTTCTATCTACTTACTTGTGGTTTTTAAGAATATTATATAGCTTAGACAACAAGGAGGGAAAAAACTCTTTACCTATCTGTCTTCCCTCTTCTAGCCAAGAAAGTTAGAGTATCTATCCGGTAAGTTACCTTACATTGCACAGATGCCATTATTTAAAAGGGTGAGCCGTGCAAACCACATAGTGGAAGTGCACACAAACAGAAAATCCCAAAACCAAGTATGCTCAAATCTACCAAAGTAATATTAAAATTGAGCATAGTTTGTCTGTTGAATCTAAACTCTGGTGATATCTCTCAGTTACTGAAAATACAGCTGCCCTGCTCTTAGCTCAGAACCACAAAAGCAGAAGGCCCATGCAGGGACTGGTCCTTTCTATATATGGAAGTTTCATCATTGATTCTGCTCCACAGCCACAAAAAGAATCCTCAGCATAAAATATCAGGATTTTTGGTTTATTTTTAAAGGATCTGATATTCTTCAACAGCAATAAAACTGATGCATTGAGAAAAAAAAATTTTTTAATGCAAGAACCAAATAAATGATTTATTTATTTGGTGTAAAACTGGTTCACAACAATATCTTTTGCAGAATAAAAGGCATGCAAGAAAAAGTGAAACAATGTTTAAAAGTGAACAAAGGAAGCAGATAGAGAATATTTAGTTTTTGTCTATTAAAATGTATTATTTGATTCTATCTCTTTGAAGGCTACACATCAGTTATCTGAAAAACTTCACTTAAAATGAAACCCTCTCTAATAATAATAGTAATAATAACTAACACTTATTGTATTAAAAAATCCTCGGCAATCCTAGGAGGCCAGTATGATCAGTATCTCCCTTTTATGTGAGGAAGCTGAGACAGGGAGACTGGATGATTTGTGCTGGGTCAGAGAGCAAGAGAACTGAGCAGCTGGGTCAGTGAGGGCTCTTAACCATCACACATACTGCCTCCTACTTACGAAACACATGGGAGGGAGGAGGAAATGGAGGAAAAAATGGGAAGGAGATGAGGTAAAAGAAGAAGGGATAAAGGAAAGTGGAGGTGGGGGAGGCTGGAGATGACCTTCCCATGACAGAGGGAGAGAACGGCCCTGAAAAGCTCTCAGCTGGAGTCCTCCTGGCCCTGCTGACTGACTACTATCCCTCCAGTGTTCAAAGTCCCAGGGCAGTACTCTGGCTTTACGCCTCTCAACTCTACCCTCCATAAGCCTATCCGTGTCAGCCTGCCTCCCAGGACACTCTTTGCTGTTTTTTAAATATCAGCAGAAATAGATCATTGATGGGAACTGATTAATTGCAAGGGAAATATTTGAGTTATCTGCTGTTAACATTTAGATTTGAACAAGGACATTTTGTGACAATGTTCTAACCCTAAGGCATTTTAGAGTTCATGCTGAGAAGATATTCTCAGGTAGGCAGGAGAAAGAGCTTGGGTCACACCAAAGACCTCACCATTTCATTAGGTGACAATTTAAAACTTTTAGAATAATAATGTTTTCATTTTAAAATTCTTTGAAAACCATAAAATATCTTAATTTGAAGTGTACCTACCTCATACAATTCTATGAAGGTAATACATTCCTGTTTTATAGGTAAAGAAACCAACTCAGAGATAGTAGAGTTAGGGTTAGTTGGTGCAAAGCAAAGACTTGAAATCAGGCACTGTGACTCCGAATATGGTGCTCTCCTATAACTGCTTTCCTAGGCATGGACATAATCTTAAAAGCCCATCATGTGTCTAGTTTAAGATCAAACACCAAGTTGCTGTTAATGAAATAAAGCCAACAAGAAATATAGTTTGGGGTAATCTACCACTACTATTAAGCAGTGGTAATGAATTTATCTATTTTTTTAAATTTGATTTCATAATCAAATAAAGTTTATCTACTCTCTTCAGGCTTACTGAAAAACACCAAAGGCAACTGAGTCTGTCTGCAGCACTCTGAAGCCACACTCTAGACTGGAAGCAATGACACAGTGTCAGGAACCTGGAGAATGAGTTCATGTCAAGAACCCTAGTAGAAAAATATTTCAGAGCATCCTCTAGTACCCCTTTAATTTCAATCTCTCACCTATTCGAAGTATATGCCAGGACTTGGAAATTCCATCGTAAAAACTGTGATGGAAACTTATCTCTGAGCCTGCATGGGATATGTACTTGATTAGGGTTGTTTGCTAAGGGCGTAAATCAGAGTTCAGTTCCCACAGGAAAGTCAGTTTCATTCTTTTCCAAGATCCACTGTTTCCCTCTTAATCCCTGCCACACATTTTGTGCAATCACAGTAGTTGTTATAAGGGCTGCTTGAATAAGGTGAGAGGACAGTAGCATAAATGCATGACCACGACGGAATGCTCTGTGTCCCCGATCTCAAAGTGCTTACCCTGACTGGAGCATTAGCATCACTGAGAACTTCTCAAAAATGAAGATGCTTCCACCCCAGACCTACTGAATCAGAAACAGCCATCTGTGCTTTAACCAGCCCTCCACATGCTCTTATTGTAGGATAATGTTTGAAAACTAAGTTCATCACTACAGAGTGTACATTTCAAATTTAAAACAGGCATTATTTTACACCAGACATGGGGAGTTGACGTCAAGAGGAATCTATAAAAACAAATCTTCTATTTTTAATTGTAACAATACTGGTGTACTATAAAACATATATGGAAAAATGATTCCTTACCGCATGCCCACATATCCACTGGCTTTCCATAAGGATCTTTACGTAAAACTTCTGGAGAAAGATACCCAGGTGTGCCAGCAAAACCTATGGAAAATTCAGGTTAATGAGTCAGAATTGAGTTGACAAAACCAATAGGAAATGGGAAACTAGGAAGAAAACAATTTGGGGTCATTTTTTTGTCTGATGATAAATCTGTCAAAATAAAACAAGTAAAACAAGGCTCTCAGAGTACTAAAGTAATGTGGACTAGTTTCTCTCTATAGCAATAGCAACACAAATCTGTCCTGCTTCAGAGGTTTTTAGAAAAAAATAGTGATTTACAGATATGAAGGCCACTCTATTGCATTGTGAAGTCATTGTGTATGCTTAAGGCCACTTGGTTAGCAGTTCTTATTCTCACTTAACTTACATGGGAGTTGAAAGTAAACTTGTGAGGGGGATCAGAACATGTCACCCCAAAACATGCCACTGTCGCATATTGATGATTTTGAGCTGAAGGCAACTGAGAAATGGCAGATGCAGGAAGAGCTCTTTCATCTTCCTTCAAGTTGGGCATGAATTTCTTGTGAGAAGTGCCCTCTTTGCATCAGAAAGAGATTAACTTTCTTATCACCAGACATGGGGAGCTGATGTCAGGATGAATCTATACAAACAAATCTCTTCTGTTAGTTTCCCTCATATATTTCTTAGTTGCTTCCCCACAATTTAATGCCCAGCCTACTCTCTTTATCCAGTGTCCTCTATCTTCACAATTTATCACTCTTTGTTAAAATGGGATGTAAGTCCTTGAGTCTAGCCTTTCTTTAAGTCTTCATTTCTTTTCAAGGAAGGCCTCTGTGTGCATGTAAAAAATTAAATATTAACATCAAATAAAATTTCTAAACTTTTCTCCTGTAAATTTAACTTTTGTCAGTTCAGCTCACAGTACCAGCCACAGACCTAAGAGGGGAGAGGAAAAGACTTCTCTTTCCTACACCTGGGAAGAACTGAAGGAGAAAATTGAAGCTAGGGTTCGATTCTTGCCAAAGATGATAGTTATCATGAAACCTACAGAACTATATTATAGGAATCATTCACTTATAAAACAGAAGGACCTAAAACACAGATCCTAGGGACAAATTCAAAGTAAATATTTTTGAAAGTAAGATAGATAGTGTTGTGGCAAGGTGGTTGGGGCTGAGACTAACTGAAGAACTCATTAGGAGAAGAAATAAGCCCCAAATACATCAAAGATTCACTGTGTACTAATAAATGGTCTGTGTGTACTTATAATTGGCAACTAAAGAGGAGACTCAGGAATACTCAGATGAATCACTATGGAACACATATCAAATAGCCTTTTAAGAGATGAGGCAAGAGAAACCACATGGCAAAAAAAAGTGTCATATTAGATCATTCAATACAGAACCCAATATGGTACACTTAAATAACAATTCTAGAGTAAAATATTTCTTATTTCTGAAAATAATAGTTTTCAAATAAAAATATTTATTTTAAGAAAATACCAAAAATAACTACTCTCATTTGGAGGTTTTCTTTAAAGGCACACTCAAAAAATGGAAAAACTCCCTTAAAAGGATATATAATCAGGAATTCCTCTGACCACAAAACAACAGATGAAGCATATTACGCATTTCCTGGGAAATTCCCCCTCCTCATATTTGTGACAAATGCATGTGCAAACACAATGTGCAAAAAAGGTATAAAAACAAGCATATATATGATAGCATGTTACTTCTCCGAGTTCCTTCAAAGTTACTTCTCTGAACAAAATCACAGTAGAAAATGGGGCAAATGATTTTGAACACCCACTCCCTTCATTACGTTTCCTTTTCTTTGTTTTGGAGTAAGATGGTGGACAATGAGAAGCGTCTCTAAGAAAAGACCTGTGTGTTTTTGTTTAAGCTTATTACATGGGCCATTATGGACCTACTTCTACCTTGAAACTGACTTGAAAGAAACGTTTGCTTGGTAGTTGTGAGGTGACAGAATCACAGAGCAGGAATCTATTGCCTAAAGTTTGAGGATGACCTTAAGCAGTGATGTGGGCGGATGGCACAACAATTTTAAAGGGCTTCTGGTGTTTCTGGATGCCATTCCTGCTCTTGCTGTCTTCTCATTCCAACCCCTCCCAAGTGGACACACAGACAAAGGGAATCCAAGAGGAACTGATGCCACAGTCCAGATTAAAGACCAAGGTTCGAGCCTACAGTTTAAGGTCCTTTATCAACTGGTTCCCCTTCATTCATCCAACCTGATTTCTTTCTACTCCTGAGCACTTGACCTGCTTCATCTTTTTAAATTCTCCTGCAAATAGACCCGTTATTCTTGTCCTTGAGGTTACTTTTCTGTTCCTTGAATCTTCGATTTTTTTCTCTACATTTTCTCTACCAGAGGGCAGCTCTAAATTATTTCCATTTTAGAGTTCTTCTTAGCTAACTACAGTTCTCAGGGGTCCTTTCGAACTCTGAATTTCGACAACACTTTTATATACAATCTGTACCCTTCTATCTATAATTGCTAAACTTTAATGTATTTTTACAAATAATATAGTAGAATACACAGCTTAGAGGAAGAAATGTTAATGATATTTCATCTAGTTAGAAAAGAGGGCAGTAAGTTGCTATGTAAGAAAGGAAAATATAATCTTAAAGGTAAATTATTATTAGCCTGTTCTGGAAACTAAAATGCTAAGAGAACACCCATTACAGTTATTCTTATTCAGGACAACTACCATCTGAGCAGCCAGTGGGGTCCTTATCCATATGAATACTGAAGCATACATTTAAATGCATGAATGTTAAAAAACAATATGCTGTACACTATGTTCTCATGAATACAGAAATACTAAGGGTAAAATGGATAGGGATTTCTTTGGCAAATTAAGCTCATGAGAATCTAGTTTATCATGATATATGCCACCTGCAGGAAAATTAATGAGAGCTTCCCTTTTTTAGAGATAGCATGTGTTTCTTACTCTGAAAATCCAATAGGAATACAAAGAAAATAGAATTACTTACTGTTGAAAATGTATCCTTGCAACAAATTGCCATTAAAAAAACCTTAATATTTAAAAAATGAGATGTGATAGCAACCAAGCAAAATAATTCTTCCAGGAAGCAAGTTGGTGGTAGTTATCTTTTTCTCCTAGAGGCAACAAAAAACTAGAAACTTACTGCAAGTAGCATTTTGAACCCCACACAAGAAACAAGCTGTATTCGGATAGTTCTCTTTGGTATGTTTTCTAGCCATCTTAACAGGTGTAGTGACATAGGGTAATATTTCTAGCATTTTTGGTTAGTATTCAAATGGATTAGGGCCGGGAGGACAGAAAAAAATGAACAAGAGAAAAACAAACATCTGGCCTTGAAAATGAGAATTAAAAAAGATTAACAATAAACTTCCACAATGTCTTATATAGTTTTTTCTTATTTGCAATAGACTTCATATTTGTTAAAATAAAGTTATGTGAAAGCCTTAAACTCTGAAATTATGCATAATGAAGAAAGAGTTCTGTTCTTTTCTTATTAACATACAAGGGTTTCTCTCCACCCAACATTGATACTACATTTCAAAAGACAAAGTTAATCAGCCAAATACATAAGACTAAGATGACAGATAATGAATAAATACCAAGACAAGTCATTCATAGTAAAACATATCTTTACTTCTAAAACCTATAATATATCTGGCACTACACCCAAAAGAAATGTAGTTTCTTAGGATACCATTAAGATCCACTTGAACTTGAATAGAATAAACTAAAACAGCTAAAGGAAAAGAACAAGAAACATGTATTCTCTTGAGCTTAGAAACTGTTCTATATTTTTGAAATGCTGAATTACCTTAGAACTTAAATGTACCTCTTAAAAGTTATTCTCTAATAGGTACTTTATTTAGCAAGAACTCAACTATTGATAGCACCACACTGAAGAGGAAATGGAATTTTGATTCCTGATCTGTCATTATTCTCTGGGACCAGCTTGCTTCTAGAAATGAATGACCACTATTAGAGAGGCTGTGTACTAGTATTTGGATGCTATTGCTTTCACTAACTTGATACTCAGGCTTCCATTCACTGAGTCACTCAACAACTTTGAGTAGGCAAAGAACTGTGACAATGTGTTGCACACCAAGATGGGTTTGAAAACTTATTCAATATCTTTCATGACCCAGGCATGTTCCTGTGGACATATAACAGCCTTGTGAAGCAGTGTTTATAATCTCTACTTACAGAAAGGACATGAACTTCATGGAGTTAAAGTGACTTGCCAACATCATACAGCTATTAAATATCCATATTTTATATTAGGGTATAAGATCAGGTATTCTAACTCAACAAGCAGATTTTTTTCCCACTCTACACAGCCCTGCCCTCAAACAGCTTGTGATCTAGCAAAGGAGAAAAAAATATAGAACTTAATTCCATCATTCTTATAAGCACCAAGCCAAGTTGCTGATGTTAATTTTGAGCCTCAACTCTGATAGTAAGGCTGGCCTTATTCCTGATATCCAGTCAGCATCTTGTACCCTGTGCTGGCAAGTACATCCCTGAGCCTCCCTCCCTATCTTGGAATCCTGCTTCATACCTCAAATTGTGTGAAGTAGGGCCCTGTTTTGCTCTAGACAGGATTGCAGTACTATCTTTGAACCCAACCTCTGGGGCTTTGATTTCCTCTAAACAGACTCTGGTAGCGTTCAGAGTCCCTGTCCACTCTGCATTTGTGTCTGGAACTTGCTTGTTCCTATTTAAGCTATAATCATGCATAATGTGAATTAGTGCATTAGCCTAACTGGTTACTTGCCTTCAGGGTAACTATCCTTATGCCCCCCTCCCATTGGTACCCAGATCACTGACATAGCATAAACCCAATTATGTCACTCTCTACTTAAAATCTTTTACAAGATCCCTGAAACTGCTAAGACATAATGTCCTTTCCTACCACATTACCATGCATCCCAGTATACTTTTTACTTTAGCTATGTCAAATTTCCTACTGTTCCTGAAATAGAAAAAAATAGTTCGTCCCTGGGTTTTTGCAGGTCTGATCCCTATGACCGGGTGTGCCTTTATCTCCTTGCAGATGAACAAACCCTCATTCACTCATTAGGGAGGCAGAGGTGTTACCCCAAATAACTAAAACTCCCCAGAGGCAGAATTTCATACTTCTCTTTTGCTGCAGAGCACCTCATGCGTGCCTGTTGAGGTGCTCCCACACTGCCTGGGAGGTAGTTATTACATGGAAATGTAGGACCTCCTATTTATGTATCCCATTAATGGCTCTGCATATCTTAGTGATAGCCTGCTACTTCTTGTTGGACCCCAACTCCTGTTACTGTATGTTCCTTATCTGTGTCAACCATGGTCTTACCCAGGATACAAAGATGTCTCTGAATCTTCAACTTAGAGAATTCTATGTCCTACCCTCCTATTTGCTATTAACAGGAACAAGCTTGTTCATATGTCAAAATATGCAAACCCAATGCCAAGTATGGAGATATTAAACTCATCCAGTGGATAATGAGAGACAACATAAAAGGCAGGAATCACAGACAAGGATAACAGTCAGTTACTCATGAAACAGGATAAGAAGCAGAATATGAGGTCCTAAATTAAGCTGCTGGCAAGGGAGATGAGGGAGGCTGGCATGCCACCCACTCCAATTAGCGAGCTGGGGCAGATTAGGCATATGTTGAGTCCTGGGAGCTCTGTGTACATTTTAAGAGATATGTATGTTTAGGGATACAGAGAAGTGTTTGCAGATAAAACAGAAGAACTAACCATTTTTTGAGTTCGCTTTCTTTTGTTGTTCAGAGGAAAAGCAATTAGAAGTGAAGGACATTTAAAAGAATTACCTAATCTCAATACATTGAAAGTCAGAAAAGGAGTAAGACTGAGGCATGGGGAAACGTTGTATTTCAAGACATGACATGAAAAATTGGTTAATACTAGGCAATGGCAGAAAGAGAGGCATGAGAAAAATCAGTGGATGAAATAATGTAACAGGTTAAATATTGAAGTAATCCATAAGCCAGGTCAGAAATACTCTAAATTTATTTAGAATTCATTTCTTCCTTAATTGTAAAGAAACAGGAATTTCATCATATAGAAATTTCAAAATGAAAATTTTGAAAAGGAAACTAGTAGTTTAGAGAAATAGAATATAATTAAGATGAAACACTATATATACATAGATTACATCTATCTACCTATAGATACATTTAAAAAATATTTTTAAAAGCTCTAATTTGTTACTTACAAAATATGTGAAATATTCTATATTTCCTGAGTATCTACTATTTACACAGCAGTTTTTGATACCAAGTGAGGTTATAAGTGAACAATCAATTTTCTCTCAAATAAAAAAAATTCTCTTAGAATACTGCAAACCTCCTATTAATTATTAGTATAAGATCCATTTTCTTATCCACTGTTGAAGAAAAAAAACCTCTGTTATTGCTTTCCTGTAAAATATTGTCCCTTAAATTGTTTCTACATTATATATCCTTTAATGTCAATAAAATTAAGTAAGTGCTTATAAAGGTCCAATATCTTAAAGTTAGTCAAATTGGTGCTAGAATGAACATTTCTGTTTTGTTTTGGCTGGGAAGTGGAATCTGACTGGTCCTAGCGGAGTGTGAATAGCATGAAGGGGAGAGAGGCTCGACTCACCGAACCATGCCTGCTGGTCTCCTTGAACTTCTATGGCTAAGCCAAAGTCTGCCAGTTTCACAGCTGCTCCCTTGGATTTGCTAGCTAAAAGCAAATTCTCAGGCTTTATTTAGAAAGAAAAAAAGAAGAGACTGAAGTGAGAACCTATTTTACGTGACTACTCAAAACTAACATTTTATAACATCAGGGAAAAAAAGTCATGCACTGTCCTCTTTCCCGGAGACTGTCATTCCTAAATCCCAAGGAAAATGTGGTTAGAAAATGATTAAAAATTAGCATGTGTGCAGGCTTCAGACAGCTGCATACATGTACTGGGGGGATACAGGGCAGAAGAGAATGAACTTGGGGAGATCAAATGAATGGGAGCACCTGTCTTGACCTGCTCACATGTTTCCATGGACCACTTAAGGTCCAGACTTGGCCAAAGACATCCACTTAGAAGCCTAACAGAGCATAGACATTTTCAGCAGAAGGAAACTTGGCAAAATGATAACAAGAGTTGGACCAATCTACAGTCATTTGGCAAATGAAGCTGTGCAAATTAAATCTTAGTTAACTTCAAGAGTTTGGACCCAAATGTAGTGATTTTGATTCTTGAATGTTTCCAAACAATTTTTGACAAATTTTGGACTCTTATTCTGAATTATATATTGCAATTGCTGTCTTTAAGAATCTGTTTATTCTTAAAGGCAGAGAGAGTATATTACTATTTGCCAAATGTTATAGTTAGCTTTTATTTCTTCAGAAGCCAGTTCTTAAAATGTAATTTACATGTCTACAAAGTGTGATTTAAAGCATTACTTATATATTTATTCTCACATCTCAGAATACTTTTGAGAAAGATAGATTTTTATTTTCGTGGGTACTTATCATTATTCAAAGACTAATAAGTCAGTCTTGGAATAAGGCTGTGTCTATATCACTGTTTCCCAACCAAGGCATCGAGACACTGGCACTCTGAAGCTAAGCCTCAGGGCAATCTTGGATGTCCTTGGATCATCTTTGTGGGTTTTAAGAAATGAAGGGAGAAGGTTAGGAAAAGAAGGCCAATCACTACATATAGTGAAGTCTATCATTTCCCAGTATCTGGAAAAACATATGCCTGTGTTGGTATATACATAATGGGAGAGTCACTCAACATCTTACCTTGGGATAAGACCCAGAAAATTTAGAGGTGTGTCTCAGACTGAAGAAAGTTGGGAAACAATGGACTCTACAAGTGCCAAAACGATTGTCTGATAAATCTAAAATTCCAATCAGTCAAATTGGTTTTGTTTCTGTGTTGATAAACAACAAATATTTTTTCATGAAATTGCCTACTTTTTTCTTATCAATTAGTCAATTCTGTTGGTTGTTTTGACCTTGCATAAACACAGCCTAAACCAATATTTAATGTACTAATTAAGCCAGCCATGCAAATTAGCAAAGACTCATAACCAGAACTTGGAAGAAATTAGGTTAAGTCTATAAGAAATAAAAGAGTGTAGGCAAATAAGTTTTAATCAAGTACCAGAATTCTTCAGGCTATTGCTGCTCACTGCCATCAGATTCATTGCTATTATGAGAATTGGTAATTGCAAGGAAAACTTTGTTATTTTTTTGGGCTGGTGGGGTTTTTGAATTACCTTAACACTAAATACATGATAACTTAATTTGGACACTGGGATGAAGATGTCTCAAGAACATGAAAGATCTCCATGCTGAAATAACTTTTAGTAAAACCTAATGTTTGAAATTACACTTGGGTCTCTAGTTATCTATCAATATACTATAGTATATAGCCATGTTACATTATTAATAGCGACATTTTATTTTCCCATGATCTACTACATTCATGCATTTTCTAATTTAATCAAGAAGTGATCTTTAGCTATTAATTAATGTTATAAATGACTTGGAAAAACCACATCAAACTATTAGCAATAGTTTATTTCTTTGTAACCTTCACATTCAAAAGCATTGAGATGTCAGAGATCTCTGCTAATACCCATCTGTTCTAATTTGTCAACCACAGACTCATTGAAGGGCGTTCCAATACTTTACAAATCACAATCATTTTAGGTCTTCTAAATGAACTGGAACTGAAGTTTGTTCAGCAAATGCTAGTGTCATCAGTGAATAAACTTTTAAAAAACTTTATGTGCTTTTATTCTTATCACTAAATCCAAAAGCTTCTGGGCAGTGTTGTGTGCATAATGCCCTGAAACACCACGTATCTGCCAATTCAGAAGAAATGGGACCCCTCAGAGTTTTATCATGCATGGCTTCTGAATGACTGGTGCAAACATTCACACCTAGAGACAACCTAGAAGACCTCTCTGAAGGGCCCTGTGAGTCATCCAGGAAAAAAGTAAGTCCATCTGGATCAGTGTTTCACCTTATAAGCATGAAGACTGTTCAGCTGCAGTCATGTATAAGAAAAGGCAGGGATTTTTCAAGGTTATTGCACAGATTTAAAAGTTAATAGCACTGAAATGGCTTCATCTTTACATATACCTTTTAGGCAAACCTAAAATATAGGATTATGAAAGGCAAACTGAAAAATCAAGATGATTATTTACTTTGTTGAAGCATTATTTGCTTTATGAAATGTTTCATCACAAGCTTGCTTCTAATGGTCAGCTTCAGTGCAACATTCAAAATATCATACAAATTTGATTTTTATACAACTCTTTGGAATATATCCAAAGTTTGAATCATCCTATTAGCATGTTCTACCATTCATATAGCCTCCAACTTAAAAATACACTGTATACAAAAGTTTGTTGGCAAGTAGGTTAGTTCATATTCTGAATGCCCATAGAAAGAAGATAAATATGTGGTTATATTCCACCAAAGCTTAAATAGCAGAATCTCTCAGCTAATCAGTGGCTGCTTCCTTAAAAAGGATCACCACTATATTCTTATCTGCTACTAATCAACTATTTTGATAAAGGAAAGATCAGAAATACAGGTGTTCCAATGCAATTAGTTGAACATGGGGGAGTAGCACTGAGGGAAATGGGAAACATTATTTAGAAAGAGAGTGAAGGTCTAGGTTTATGTCTAGGGCCTGTTCTTGACTATGTGAATGGAAACTCATAGACTTTTGGAGCTACTTAGTTTCTTCATTTCTCAAATGAACATTATAGGTACATATTGTATCTCATACCAGTATATATGCAATTATAAAATCTCACTGGATTTTATCACAGAAGCTCTGTCCTAAGAGACAATGTATAAAGTAGTGATTAGCAGTTACACACCATTGTAGCTGGCCATTTCAATGTGCAGAGCATTGAATATTTGTGATGAATGTTCATAATTTGATGAATGTCTGTATTCCTAAATTTAATGCAATCTATTATGGTAATCTTTATACATTGAAATTCTCTCTAAATTCTTTGAATGCAATCACATTTTAGGTTAGTTTTTAAATAGATTCTACTGCCGTTCTCACACTGAGGTTCCTTCCCGACCCCATTGCTTCCTAATGATGCAGGATTTTCCATGACATCTGGTCCTAGTGTCAACAACCATTTATAGCATATCAGCTGTAATGAGCAGCAACTGTTTGCAAGTTTTGTTCTGTACTTCCATATGGACACAATGGCAACTTTTTTCATTGTGATTTGAGATTTTCTTGAAACTATTCAGATATCTCAAAGTACCCAGGCAAGTTGTTAGGATCACTTTTAGGACTGGAAGAGACTTGGAAGGTAAAACAACTCAAACTCCTCAGTTCCTAAAGGAGGCAGGGTGATCCAGATAGATGAAGCCAGGACTTAAAGCCAGATTTCCTGACTCCTTCTTTTAAAGATGTGATACTGAGGAAACTCCTCTGATGGCATACAGATGGTTCATTTTCAAAAGGTGCTCCATTCAGTAGATATTCATAGAATTTGAAGTACTTCCCCAAATTTTCTACCCATATTCAAATAAAACAAGGGGAAAACATAAAAAAGACATAGTTTTAATTTGTTTCTCAAAAATCCCATGAACATATCACAAGACTTTCCAAATTATGATCTTTATTAAGGAATGCTACAGCAAAGGTGATAATTATCTTCAGCATTAGTCTGTGTGTAGATTTATCTGTGCACATATGGGGTAACTACAGAGCTAAAATAGCTCAAACATTAGGAACATATATGTGGGTAGTTAAAACATGTTTTACTTAATGGTTATGCTTTCTTTATGATCATAATACCAAGTTACTAGCTTTCTTATTTCATATGTTACATTCCCTTGGATATTGGTTGTTAAGTGAAATTCTTTTTAGGACTTCTTTCCTTTATTGGAGAGTCACCGTATTTCACATGAAGTCAACCACTCTGCTCTGGTGTGTTTTCAGTCACTTTTCCTTTGCCAAAGAAGGTGTGAACAAAGCTCCTAGAAATAAACTTGATGAAGTTTTGCATGAATTGAAAAGCTTGAATATCAAGCTCACTAATGCATATGGTAGTTCTTTTGTACAATGGTACAAGTACTTTTGCTTTTATTTTTATATGGACTGAATGCCTGAATTTAAGTACTTAGCATAGTTTTCAGCTGACTCACGTGCTGTAAATTTGTGATTAGGAAGTACTATTTTTATCACCATGCATGTATGAGAAAGTTTGTAAGAAATCACTGTGTATTTCGTTCCTGTTTCTTGATTTACTCCTACATTAGCAGCATGCACTATCAGGTGGATGGAAGCACCAGAGCATACCCAGAGCGAGACTGTTACCAATTACCTGCTGTTTCTCCACAGCCTGACACACTGGGCACTCAATATAGCAGCATTAGAATGATGACATGAATTCTGGAATTTACCACATACATAGTTGTTTCTGAAATACCTAGACATACATTATATGCAAATGACAAGTTCTTTAAACTTTTATTTAAATATGGTTCTGAGAAAAGTGGAATAATTGAGATTATGTGATTGTTTATAACATAGAATTCAATTTGATAAATCTACTACCCACAGTTAAACAAGAATTTGTTGCATGTGTGTCGTTTCCTCTCCCACCCCCAAACCAAGTCCTTTCTTTTCTGGCTATAAATTTAATTTTATTCCTATGAAACAGTCTTTAAAATATTCCCAAATTTTCAGAATTATGACCTTCATCAAAA